GTAGTTTCACAATTTCAAGAACACTACAGCATCAACAATATCAGTTTGGTATAAAGATTTTGTCAGGGGATCATAAATGAGCAGACAGATATCTCTAGGAATTCCAGCAACTGATTGATTCTAAAATTATAGGCCACGGCAAGTTTTAAATGTGATAATTTTCTGTTCTGTAAGCAGATGTTATACCCTTGCTTCATTAATAACAAGAAAAATGTGCTCATTATAGTTTTGGCTACTACCATGGATAATTTCACTTTTCTGATGCCAGGAACAATGCAAAAAAGCCAGAAATTTAATTGAATAAATTTCCATAGTATTTCAGATATAAACAGGTAATAACACTATATACATACATCTTAAAAGAGATACTATTATTTAAATCGAAAACTAATAAGTTAGAAACATTAAAATTTAAGCCTAAAGTCTTTTCATCTATATGAATTAACATTTTAAAATGAAAATGTTAATTCATAAAAAATTAATATTCTTATATGCATTACACCGGTTAAGAAACTCAAATTCCTGTAAGCAGAACAAAACCTATGTTTCCTAAAATGGAATAAGAAAAAAAAATCCCAATTTTTTAGCTAATCGGGAGGAGAGTATGGGTCAGCTGAGCACTCTTCTCTGACTTGTCTAAAAAACATTGTTGTTTTTTTCATCATTTTTCCAAGACACTAAAGTTCCACCCTTTAATTCCCATTTCATAAACACTTATGGTTATCTGCAAGTGAATGCTGGTAGGTAAACCACATAAATAATTACCAGAACCTTTTAAGTAATATACATACGCAAGTATACATACAAAAATATTGCTTGGTTTATTGAATATTTAAAGTAAAATAATAATAATGCAATTATATAGTTGTGTATGATTTCTACATATTTAGCACATCTATTTGATATAAATCAACAGAAGTAGTGTTAAATAATAAAATTAATGGTCCAACAGTAATATGTCTTTTGCATTTTTAAATGGCATTGGATTAGATATGAGCTAAAATTAGAATCAAAACTGTTAGAATCCAATGGGATATGTTTGCAGTGCCTAGTCTAAAAATGCCATTGATTAAAACATGACTAATCTAATTTGGAAAGGGAGCACAACATTTCGGTGGTTAAACACACTGAGCTTTTTCAGCTAGAAAGTTGGTAGCCAGGTTCGTGACCAGAACAGGGTGAGCTCTCTTTACTTGCCCCTGCTCCTCCTGCCAAACTATAGCAGTTCAAAAGCCTGAAATGCGAGTAGATAAATAGGTACTATATCAGTGGGAAGGTAATCGCTTTCCATGCGTCTCAGTGTATAGTCATGCTGATGATAGAAAGGTTTTCGGATAATGCTGTCTCCTTCAACTAAGAAGTGGAGACAAGCATTGCTCCTTAGAGCTGGATACAATTGGACAGGGAAATCTTTACCTGCTTTAACCTAGTTTGAATCCAACCCATTCTATGGTATGGTCACAGAAAGGAGTTTTATTTTCAAAGAAAAAGAGTGTGTTTCCTGTCACAGTAATTTTAGTTTTTCTTACAGAGGGCTGACATTTAATTTTAAATAATTCAAGAATTTCATTGAAAATTAGTATTTTGTTCAACAGTAAGGAATATGTTAATGAAGATTACATTACTGTAATAGGATAATTACAGGGTTGCATTTGATGTATTATTTTACATATCAAATCCTAAAAAAATAAGCACAATTATTCTTAAATATGTGGGGAAAAGCATAATCTTAATGAATGAAAGTTTTAAAAGTGAAGATATTTTTATCTCTGTTCTCTGAAATTAAAAATATTGCCCACAAATTATAAAAATATCTTACCTAAGTCCTATAAATCATGTGACATAAACTGATTATTTTTATACAAAAAATTAAGGCTCACAAGAAATGTTCTTCCCTTCTGTATCAACCAAATCAAAAAAATAGTATAGTTTATAGTATAACATGTATTCTCCATGGAGTAGTCTGTCAGTCTACGGACAGACTTGCCATGTGTATTTTAATAAAAAGGCACCACAGATGAGTCCAGAAATACTAATTAAAAAATAACAAAGGATTTTACATATTAATCCAATGTAGTAAATCCCTACTGACATGTAAGGACCAAATCTTCCCTAGCCTTGCACCTGATGTCATAAAACTTTATAGCCATGCAACAAAAATGCAAAGCTAATTAAAATTGCCAATTACTACATGTGTACTTTATAGTCTGAGAACATTGTAAATCAAGATGAAATAGTTTTATCACTAAGAATCTACATCATGTCAAACAAAACCTCCTCAAATCAATGATGGTTCGCCATGTAGATTCAACAAGGGTATGCATACTACATACAAAAGATGATGTTTAATAGATATATAAAATCAATCCATTCTTGCCTTGTAGGAATATTACCTAGACATCTTTTTAAAATCTTGCTTTAAAAAAAATGAAATCAAGTTTTATAGTCAGTAAATTTAACATAAAGGTTGTTGTTAGATAATATTCTTGCCTGAAGTTTTCTAAGTCTTTTAAGTAATAAACCAAATAAATAATGATTTTGATCCAGAGTTCATTGAATAAAAAGAGGGAAATAATTATTTCTATTATCCTTCCCTTTTTTGACATCCCATGCCTGAAAATGTATTGATTCATTGATACTAATATAATTCATTGATACTACTATATAATATATTATTAATATAATTAATATTAGTATAATTCAATATTTACTGATTGAAACCTAAAATCATAAAGCATCGGAACCAATAGTTGAGAAATGTTACTTATCACTACCACTGAAAGAGTTTATTGAAAGGCATTTTTTTCTAATAATAGGAATGAAACTTTAAATGCAAACCTATGTTTCAAAACAAAGCAACGTTAAAAAGGCACTTAATGTTGATCTATCTGAAGAAATATTCATTTTAGGGATGTTATCTTAGAAAAATGTTTTTAACTAACTGATTAAATATTTTTTATTTATTTTGCATATTTTAGATGCAAAATTAGCATTCAAACATTGTATTAAACAAGGGATGTGACAGAATTCAATATGAAGAAGCTATCTTTTCAGAAGGTGCTCACAGACTGCAGGATTAGGCTTTGTTTCAATTTTAAAAATGTACTGAATAACTTTGGGACTACTTCATCAAACTGAATTATAGAATTTGACAAATTTAGTGATGGATACCAACTTGAATGGCTTTCATGACAGATATCATATCAATGCATATTTATCATTAGTGTTTTAAAGACAGAATGCATGTAAGGGCTATTTGCTATAGAGTAATACTCATATTCTGACTATGGACATTGTTATGTCTTTGGAACTGGTTGGAGTCCCCAACCAGGTCCGCTGTTTGAGCGGGAGCACCAGCCGCTCCCATTGGCTGGCTCCGTTTGACAGTCGGCTATAAAAGCCGGCTGTCGAGCAGAGCCAGCCCCTTGTCGCCAGCTAACCTGCTAGTTAGAAGGCAGATGCGGCAACCCTTTATTCCCTGTAATAAAGCCTGTTCGTTGTTCACTCTGGCTCTCGCCTCTTCCTTCCATCGCTCTACAACAGGCATCCTATTAGTACTATAAAAATTTGACTATGGAAAACAGGCATCTTCATTAAAAGCTGATGTACCTTCCCTGGAATCTTTCCAAACTTCAAGCTATAATGTGAGTTCATACTGAATAAATTGCTTAAAAGTTGACTTTTATTTTATTTTTTACAACACTCAATCTGGGATTGTATACCTGCCTAAAAGTATGTCAATACCAACATTCTTAATCTCTTTGGGTATTAAATTTAGCAACTGCTTAAGTCCAGTTCATTTTATTTGGTCTCTTCTGACTAAAAGTACATCAAAACTTAGATATTAACATTTAGCTGATAAGCTTAAATTTTTATAGCTTCTCATAAAAGCCTTGTAAACAATTAAAAAGTAAAACAATCCTAAACTAGTTTTCTCTTTAGAATGGCAACTATTTTTTAAAAAGATATCTAATTCTTAACTGTTTTATATTCTGAATTAGTACTGAAAAAAAATTCTTTCAGAAAATACTTCCTTATGATTGCCAGGGAGAATTAGTTTAAGATATTTTAAAAGTAAATTGCAACAACAATTGCTAATAAATGTGTATATATTCAGAACATAGGTTTTCTAGTTTGCAATATGTCTTTTGGTATATTGCTTATATTTTTGTTAATAGGAATTCAAAGGAATCAACTCTCATACAAATCAGAAACAGCCCTACTTGTCCCATGCCTGGTACAGCTATGATTACTTCAAAATTTTCAGAAATTTTCAAAATCTGACATCCAGAAAACATTGACTGATTAGAAGCAGTTTGAGAATATGCCCATTTTCCCACCCTTCCTTTAACATACAAAGAAGTGATGTCTGAAGTGACAGGTCACTATTATTTGAATGCAGGATTTCCTTTACTCAGGAAATTGAATGCTGCAACACGCAGCAAAATTATTAGAGTCTCTTCTGCAAGAATGATGACCATGCAATTAGCCTCTTACACAAAACAATGACTTCTCATATACTGGGTGGAGTTTAAATTTATACTTTGGATTTCTCTTGAAGAAGCAAAAGAGAGCGTGGAAGTTCTGTGGGCTGTCTGAAAATGTGTTCCTTGTAGCAGCGGAAATTTTTGAATCATTTGCTAAATCACTTTGAAAGCTGTTCCATCTATTGTCCATATAAGTATGCACATTCACATAGCGCTTCCAATTGGTTATACACATATTTTCAAAAAGCCTACAAAACATACACACAAAGGTTCAAAGGTTCAAAAGCTTTAATATTATTTTAGTGAAATCATGCAAGATTTAATAATCTTAAATCTCTAATATGAAAATGCCTATGTGTACTGTGTGAGAGTGCATATGAGTGAGTGTACCACCCATATTAAAAAATAAGCTTTGGGAAGATGTCTTACTCATTCTCTTAAAGAACTTTGACTTCTTTTCTGAAATCTTGCAATAATAAAATCACTGTATGTCATTACTGAACATTGTGACTAAGAGTGACTCCGTGATTTTCCCCCTAATCTTCCCCGTTTTCTGAAACTCTAAAATTGAAGAAAATGAAATACAATTATGAAAATTTGCCTTTATCCAAAATTCAAGAATTAGAGGACAGAGGATTAAATCAGAAGAGTATAAAGTACAAGCTTTCGCTGATGATATGGTTTTCTTTGTGGAGGAGCCTATAGAAAAAGGATATAATTTATTAGAAGAATTAGAACGATTTGGAGAAGTCGCAGGACTCAAAATTAATAGGAAAAAAACGAAACTAATGACCAAAAACTTAACAGGAGACCAGAATAAAGAGTTAGAGACATCAATGGGAACACAGGTGACAAAAAAAATTAAATACCTAGGAATTTGGCTAACTCCACAAAGCAAATCATTAAAAGAAAACAATTATGACAAACTACTCCAACAATCTAAGAAAGATTTAGATTCCTGGAGTAAATTACAGCTTTCTTTACTGGGCAGGATTGCTTTGATTAAGATGAATATACTTCCAAAATTTCTATATTTATTCCAGACAATTCCAATCAAATTAAATAAAAAAATTTTTTTATAGAATTAAATAAGATTATGCTAAAATTTATTTGGCAGGGGAAAAAAGCTAGGATCAACATAAAACCCTTACAAGATTTGAAAAGGAGAGGAGGGTTAGCCCTGCCAAACTGGGAAATATATCATACGGCAGCCATTTTACTATGGATAAAGGAATGGGTGAATCTAACCAACAAAAGAACACTAATATTAGAAGGCCACAATACGCAGAAAGGATGGCACACCTTCCTGTGGGAAACTGGGAAACCCAGGCAATCATATTTCCATAGGCACCTTATTAGGGACTCTCTACTAACCAATTGGAAAAAAGTACGTAAAAAACTCTATCTAAAAATACCAATTTGGCTATCTCCAATGGAAGCAATAGTACACCCTAATAATTTGGATATAACTAAAATGATTAAATACAAAAATCTATTAGACCCACAAGGAAAACTGAAAACACAACAAGAATTACAAGAGCGAGGATTTATAATTGATCAGTGGGTGTACCTTCAAATCCATAGTAGATATAAACAAGACATTAAGGAATTCGGAATCTACAATAAATTGCAGACTTTAGACAAAATTCTATTAGGACCAAATAAAAAAAATATATCCAAATTCTACAAACACTTATTGGAAACGGAACTAGAACAAGAGATTGTTAAAGGAAATATGATTGCGTGGAGCAGAAACGTGGGACGGAGTATCACCCTAGCAGAATGGGAAAGGATCTGGAATAGGAACATCAGCAGCTTATAAAGAAAACTCATACAAAATGTTTTATAGATGGCACCTGTCCCCTTCGAGATTGGCGAAAATGCACCCCAACAAGAGTCCCAAATGTTGGAAATGTCAAAACATAGAAGGTACCTTCTTCCATATGTGGTGGTCATGCAAGGAAACTCAGAAATATTGGCAAAAAATTAGGCATTGGCTAGAGGAGATAACTAAGGAACAAATTGAGTACAAACCAGAGTCCTTCCTTCTAGGAATTTTTGATAAACAAGTATCCAAAAAATCAAAGTATATTATAATTCACATCCTAACCGTGGCTAGACTGGCATTCGCTCAGTGCTGGAAATTACCTTCTATCCCCACTGAACAAATGATCATCCAGAAAATTTTAGAATGTGCCGAAATGGACAAACTAACCCAATCATTAAAAAATAAAGAATCCTCAACCTATTATAACAATTGGAATCCTTGGTATAATTGGCTAAATCAAAGATAGACCACTTCGAGAAAAATTGTAGCCAAGGGCTACCTAAGTAGAGATAATGAAAAGTACCGCTGACGATATACTTGAAGAAGAAAGGATCTTACAGTCACAAAAGATATGGTTTTATTTTAACTGTCTTCCCCATTCTACCCCCCCTTCCCTTACCCTTCCCTCTCTTCTCCCACCCGCCTTCCTCTCTTTCCCCCCTTGCCTCTGCCAAGGCCTGTATATAATTTGTAGATGTGCTGTTTTTAATGGTAAAATTAATAAAGTTTTTCTTAAAAAAAAAAGAAAAGAAAATTTGCCTTTATCAATACTGTTATTGAATACAAAATTGATAATATGCATTTTCAACATATGAATTTTGCTTATGTTCAAATCTAATCAGTTGCTTCAGTAATTTTTGTTTACTTTCTTGTCACTTGAATACTTTAAACAGCAAAATATAATGGAAGAAAACAGATAGAATCAACAATCCAAATAGAGATACCAAGATATAGAGAAATTCTTCATTATGTGACAGATTGAAATGTTAATTCATGGGAAATTTACATAACAAATATTGTCTTCTATAATAGACACAAATCTGTATTGATATAAACAGCTGCTCATTTAATGCAAAACTTTTATCAAAGTAATATTTCACATCAACTAGCTTTTTAAATGAGTTTTATTTAAAGCTATACTATCATATTGTCTTGCATTAATTCCTGAATGTTTAAAATTATACTTTTTTCTGGTTTTTTTTCCACCAATATTCTTACTTCTTACAGAAGCTTCATACAGCAAAGCAGACTCTGAAGAAATAAAAGCTAAATAATTTCTAGAGCAACATAATGGCCCATTTATAACACAAATGTCTTCATGATGCACCTAGATTATTTATGCAAATCAAATTAAATATATTTTAAAATTAACATTTAAGAACAAGTATAAAACAGCTAAAAGAGGTCCTAGAATTGGATAAGGAGTAAACCCTCGGGGACATTCAGGGGAATTAATTTAAGGGCCACTTCCTCTTGCAACAAGTTCTGGCTAAGCAGAAGAACAAAAGGCAGAAATTACATAATTACAAGCACACATTTGTCCGATTCTCTCTGCAAAGATTTTAACTAATGTATTGAGTAAGCCATGTGCATAGTAAGTTTCATTCAACAGCTGAATAAATGAAAGGAACATAATTTAATGTTTCCCTTCATAAATGGCAAATTAATTAAAAAGAATAGCAATGTCTCCAAAATATAGTGATCTTTATGTTCAGAATAGTACTTTCACCTATAGCTTAAAAATGAAACTTTACAGGTGTTACTTGCTCAGGGTTCAGAATGCATAGCAAACGAAATCAAACATAATACAATTTCAATTTTAAGTATTTCTTAGTATATATTTAGTGTCAGATATCAAAATCTGTAACTTGCTCCAAATGAATGTTTTCTCATCATGCAAATGGAATTCTTCTTTATGCATGACCCTGAACTCAAGGCTAATATAATGGTGAAACATCATTTATTTCTGTTCTAAGAAACTCAAATTCTGCAGCCAGGCTTAATTATGTAAATTAAGTAGAATTGCTACATATGGTAATGCTGCATAAATTACTTTGCCTCCAAAGCATGAAGTATTATTGTTTAATATGTTCCTCACTGAATAATCAGCTGAAAGTATGGTATTAATATGCAGCATCAGATTCATTGGAAAAAACTCAGAAATTTCTTGACACTTGATTTGGCCCAGCTTGACTAAGCTCTATAGGTTGAATGTCTGTGAGGATTCTCAGTCACCCAGATCATGATTATTCCCCAAAAGTGCTTTTCAAAAGGCAATTTGTCATCATTTTTTCTTGAAAATGTTTCACTTCTCATCCAAGAAACTTCTTTAGAACTGGGACATTTCTGTCCAGCTGCCTTTTTTAAAGCACCTTTGGGACTCTGGGTTTTGCAGATTTCTAAAATAGCTGATCGGCCTGTAAGCATAAGGTAGAATTTCCTCCCTTGTGATTTCTGGCACTGGGGTCTCTTTTCCCCCCAGAAACTCTTTGGCTGAATTCATTTATCATTCTATGCTTCTTTGAGGCTGGACAACTGCTGATTGTTGACATATCTTAAAATCTTTATTTTTTTAATTAATTTATTATTTTTACAAATAACTCAAGGTGGCAAACACATACAATATACTTTCTTCCCCTGTGCGATGGGTTGGCTGAGAAGGTCACCCAGCTGGTTTTCATGGCTAAGATGTGACTTAAACTCAAGGTCTCCTGCTTTTTAGCCTCTCTCATGAAAAAATCTGAGATTCAACAACTTCCACATGTATAGGTAGTCCTCGACTTACAACCACAATTGAGCCAAAAATGTCTGTTAAGTCAGTGGCCCCCAATCCTTTTTGAACCAGGGACCAGTTTCACAATTATTTATTCTTCCATGGACCAGTACCTGAGTAACATGAGACTCCACCGCCATCGGGGCAGCTCTTTGTTCGAAGCCACCACCCCCCTTCGACGAAACTAAGGTGCGAGCACCCAAACGCCACTTTCCAACTGAAAACCCGGAAGCGCTGTCGAAACAAGATGGCAGCGCCCAAGCTTTGAGGCCCGGTAAAAAATGATCCACGGACCGGTACCGGTCCAGGGACCGGTGGTTGGGGACCCCTGTGTTAAGTGATACATTTATTGAGTTTTTCCCCATTTTACCACCTTTCTTGCCATGATTGTTAAGTGAATCCTTATTAAGTTAGTCACATGGTTTTGGTTTCCCCATTGACTTTTCTTGTCAAAAGATCGCAAACGGTGATTGAGTGAATTTAGGACACAGCAATGGTCTTAAGTTTGAATCAGTTGCCAAGTGTCACATAAGCATGGGAATGCAACGAAAGTTGTAAGTGTGAAAAATGGTCATGTCACTTTTCTCAGTGTCATTGTAACTTTGAAGGGTCACTAAAGGAACTGTTGTCAGTTGAGGACCACCTGTAGTTTATCAACATATTGATTTCTCTGTAAGCCACCCAAGGTCACCCAACTGAGCAGCTATAGAAATTAATTCATTAAATAACTGAACCCTACTGTGATGATTTGTGTGATGCCTTCTTTAAAAACTGTCCCAGAAGTTGCAATTGCTGCAAACTAAATTAAATTAGGTTGCTAACTAATGGAATGTACAGGATGTGAAAACATGTATTTTCTGGACTCAATTTAAAGTTTTATATTAATGCCTAAAACCCAGACATGCTTAGTAAACAAGTGTTAAATTTGATTGCACCATGTGACGTATTGTGATATATCACTGTTTTTTGCCTTTGTGAAGCTGGGGTGAGTATGGCCTATATATGACACATCTGGCTCACAGTTTGACAGGCCTTTTCTTATTGGATTTATCTACCGTATTTCCCCATGTATAAGCCACCCCTTTTTTCCAAAATTTTCAAGCCCAAAAAGTAGGGGGGTGGCATATACAAAAGTGTACATGTACACTTTTTATACGTGAAAAATGCATAAAATAATAAAGTAGGAATAAACTGGTTTTCCAGCAGTATGCTATACTTTTTTGTAAAAATTGTACGTGATGATACGATTACGAGTGCGAGTACGCGATAGAAATGCATACGCTAGGCATCGGCCTGAATGCTTCGTTCCTACTCTCGTTCCGATGCGTAGATTGCTAGCGTCGCCCGCACCACTTTCGGCGTCATGACCGAAGTTGTAGATCTAGACGTCGAATTTTGTTTCTTTGTAAATTTTCTTTCTTCATAACTTGTTTCTCTAATAAAATATTTTTTTCAAAACTTCACAGTCCAAAAATTGGGGGGGTGGCTTATACAAAGGGGGTGCTTATACATGGGGAAATACGGTATTATGAACCTCTCCAGCCTTAATATCCAAAGGACTGACCTTCTGAAGATGTTTTCACAATCTTAGGCTAACAGTGGGGGAAAGCCTTTCTTCCCCACTTCATTCAGACTATGAATATATTCATTTGGAAACTGCATTTGGAAACTGTAAAAATGTATTTGTTTCACCAAAGTTCTAATTGTTTGACTTGTTTTCATTTATTATATTGATTACATTACTAATTTTGATTCTAATTTCCTTTATGGGTTTTCTTTCTGTTAATCATTTTAGTACTTGCTTCAGTTGAAGGGTAAGTCACAAATTTCAGACATAACTTAACCACTTGTTGCATAACACAGCCTTTTCTAACCTAGTGCTGTCTAGAGGTTACAGCTACAATTCTCAAATTTATAATCAATTTAACTGAAAATTTCAAACACTGTAATCCCAAAACATCTATAGAGCACAAGGTTAAAGACCCAAACTGTTTAAAAGATACAATACAGTAGGTCAGTAAAGGATCAATTTTCATCCAAAAGCACACAAACAAATGAAGCAATCCTATGCCCTTAAGTGTGATTTCATTTCCTGTATTTGTATAGTAAAAGCTAAATGCTTTATTTATGGACAGCTATTTCTTCAGTTTGCCACAAAAATTTTGTGAAACCAGACTGTGGGTTTAAATAATGAGTGAATATTATGCATGTCCTATGTTTCTAGAGTTTTGTTTTGATTTCTGGGAAACATCCTAAATTAGTTTATAGCAGAAAGATATTTTCCAATTTACAAATATAGTGCTTGCTTGCACAGCACATATACAAAATTTACAAATATATATATATAAACTGGAAGCAAAAAACACTTTATCTAACAATGCAATAATAAGTGTTAAGTATTTTTATTTGTCAACTATTTCAATAGCTACCTCTTCCATAAGCAAGCAAAAGAAGGCAACTATTGTTTCCAAATTCAGTGTGAGAGAAAAAAAAACAATCTGTTCTTCTAATATTTTCTATTAGTTAAGGTCAGCAATTTCAATAATCTTTTTCTTTCAAATGAATTTCAATATACCATAGTACATAATTCAACTGAATATCTAATGAGGAAAAAATTAAAATCTACTAGTTCTTTTTCAGACAATAAATGTTAATTAAAGGCACAAGCTTTCAAGAACCACAGTTTGATTAGAATTTAAATGGGAATATATTGGAGGGAGGAAAAGGGAGGAGAAAATTGAGTGATGCAAGTGCAGGTTATATATGACACTATAAATGTCTAATCAATTAATAAATGTGATGTGTTAAATCACATTCAATTTGTTGAGATTTTCTAAAAGGCTTGAAACTTTTTAATGTGAATAAGATGAGATCATTGATATAGTTTTATACAATTTTATGGGTTCTTGCAAGCAACTGAACCCTAGCTAAAGGTTCAAAAGTTTACCCATATAACATATCATGACTTGAGACCAATATACATGTATTTATGTTACTTTCTGTTAGGGTCTATGACAGGGCTGTCAAACTCACACCATCATGGCAGCGTCATGTGATGTATTGGGTATCAAGATTCCAGAAGTTGCCCTAAGAAATGTGCAAATATATAGACAAAAACCTAGCAAGAGAGTGTTTATGCAGTTAATAAATGAGGTGTTACACGAGCATCTCTATAAGGGGGTCCTTGTCTATTTAAATGACATTCTCATCTACACTGAGACCACGGATAACCACATATCCACAGCCATCTTTGCACAGGAAAATCACCACAGAAAACTTGATGCAGGACAACTGAAATCACTGACAGTTGCCATACAATGTCATCATCCCTGCTTGCCCCTCTCTCTGCTGGGCAGCATGCTGAAGGAGAGATCTGCAACACCAAGATGGGTGTGGATGCCACCCTCCCATGAGGGTCCACAGGGAAAAAGAAGAGGCTGAATGTGGAATAGGCAGTAGCCTTGCCTGGTGGCAGTAGGCTGGATGCCTTACTCTCTTGCAGTTAGCAATGTTGACACAGATAGTCATGCAGAACAGACATGCTCTGATCTGACCGAGCAGAGGTGCCCACGGAATGTCAGATCCAGAGATGTGGTCTGTCATGACACCATGGTCAATGGCTGCCTCCAGTGAAAGGAGGTGCTGCAGGAGGCCCATAGAGTTTTCCCAATGGCAAGTTTCCCATGGCAATTTGTCCCGCACTAAGATGGCCACACCAAGGTCCATGGCAACATGGCCATGGCAAGCTGGTGGAGCTGAGATGACAGTGCCAAGATGTCCCATTCCATTTCTGATATGCCATCATTTCCCATATACTTTAGATACCTTTCCTTTTGTAATTATGCTAATTATGTAAATTATCAAGTGTTGAACCAAAGCCTTCACTATATAGATGGCAATTTTTTGCAGCACTGGCCACAGGTTTATTATTATTTGTTGCACATTGGTACCAAATGATTTCAGAGCATAGCATGACCCACCTGTGCAAGCTAAAGTGATTTTTAGCATTTTTAAATGCGCTAAGTATTTATGCATTATTTTTGCATTGTTTCCCACCAAAGATAAAAAAAAGTCATCACAACACTATTGCAGAAACGGAGTTTTGAGAAAACGTAAAAACAAAAACAAATTAACAATTATTCCCCTGCATTCTACTTGATTTGTTTCTAGTCAGGGCCACGGTGGCTCATGTGGAAAGATGCTGGGCTTGCTCACCCGCTGATATTGGCTGTTCGGTGGCTCAATTCCCATGAGCGAATAAACTGCACAGGGACAAGAAAGGACCTCCCCTGAATACCTACTGGCATTCGAGCATCCCATGGGTAAAGATAACACCGCCCGAAAAAATTCCTTTCACAGAGGCAGGCAGCCACCTCGGTAATCCCTTTATTTAGCACATGTGCCATATGCTAAATAAATAAATAAAATAATGTTTCTAGTAGGATATTTTATGAACTTATTTTTAATATCATTTAAAGAAGCATCAATTTAATGTAAATTATCACATTTGAAAAACATGATGATTAAAAAAACCAACCAATTAAATAATAATGGGATGGCATACAAGGGGACATTTGAGGGACCTTTTCCCACTTAAATCTCCCTGTTCTATCTGCTCCAGCAGGAAATGCGTTTTGTAGGAGTTTAATCAGGCAGGACCTAGAAGGAAAACCAGTTCTGCCATGCCCCCATTCTGTGAAACATCATCCCCTCCCTATGGTGAGGCTGGTCCCAACCCTATCAGACTGGCAGAAAGCCCTAAAACTATGACAAAATGGAGCCTGCTAGATGGCTATATGGCAACTGAATGCAATTTTGCACATTTCAACACCATTCTCTTAATCTTGCTTTTATTTTATATTTTAACTTCAGTTAGATGTTTTAATGATTTGATATATTTTGACTGTTTTATTTTGCATACTTCCCAGAGTAACTATGTGAACTGGCAGTTATACAAATGTGATTAAATAAATAAATGAATAATATGAACAAGCAGCATTACTGGGAAAAAAGGGAGAGAGAAAAATAACTTTTAAAAAGCACACTAAAAGTTGATAAAAGAAATCATGGGCTGGTGGAATACTGTACACAGAAAAGTATTTTGCTTTACAGATAGAAATCGGACTCCACAAATGTCCTTTTCTAGAGATCAAGACAACACAGTGTACTCCCAAATATGATTAACTCCTAAGAGTAAAAAAAAAACAACTTGCAGTCCTTTGCCAGTTTTAAATATCTGAAAATGGATTCTCTTTGCCATCACTATTACCATTTATTCCAGTGTTGCCCAATAATGCAAGTATACATTTAATTAATCCTAAAAATAGTATAATAAAGGGTATATTCCATTATTTTGAATTAGCATCAGCCCCTATCAACATAGTTAATAAGAAGAAGAAGAAGAAATGATTGGAGTAGAAAATCCTTCAAAATTTAGTACATTAAATGTATTAACAGGAAGGACAGGATTGAACCATAGGAAAAATGATCTCTTAACTGAGTGAAGAAGATAGACTGCTTCGATTTAAATGCCTGGGATTCAAAGTTAAGAAACAATATTTTGCAGGAACTGTCAGTATGCAAAAATGCAGGGTCTATCACATATTTCAAGAATGTAAAACTTCTTAAAATACCTGAACACCTGGGTTGGATTTCCTAAACACCAAAAAACCCCACACTCAAGCATATATTGGTAATCAATAGTTAATATAATTACATCACATCTTTATTTAAATGCTAAAGATTTGAATGTCATGTGAGTTACTTAATTTAATTCAGGCTTTAACATGGACCATGTCCCTGAGACTATAATTCTTAAATTCCCAGCCAGTATATTCATGCAACTGCAACACTTTAGACACATTACTTTTTGTCTATTAGCCTAAACAGCTCAAGGAAACTCTTCCTCATCCTAGCACCTTCCCAATCTGCTGGGAACACATCTGGAAGGTGCCAAGTTGAGAAGTCTGGTTCAAAGTTCACTTTCATTTTGAAAGGGAAGAATCTGAAAAAATGCCAGATGAAAAAAGTAAATTATGAGTACCATTCAAAGATGTGAAATGTCATCAGTTATGACTCTCTCTTTCTCTCTCCCATTCTCTCCTGTATGTATGTATGTATGTATGCATGCATGTAGTTATTTAAACAGCACTTACTTTTAAGTAAGTATTCATAAAATTACATTCAAAATTCAATTTCATTGACTCCACTATGAATCATTCCTAGACTGTCCAGTGTTACTTTACTATTTAATATCTGGAAAAAATGGAAAAATGTCCTACCTGATCTGTATTCACTGGTTCTCTTTTGTTTGCCTGTGGAACATGACAATTTTCTTTTGCAAATTTCTGGACAAGTTCGATGTGCCCAATATCTTCTTGTTCCTGAATCTTGCACATAACTCCTGCCTTCAATGTTGGTGGAAAAGGAAAAAGATATTTAAATCCACAGTCCCAGGACATGACACTCACAAACTTTGAATTTCACCAAAATTTCATCTTCTCCATTTCACCCTCTGAATTGTTTCAATTTTATGCTGAGCAAACTGTTGTTTCTTGCTTAAAAAAACAAAACGGGCACCAAACAAGTCACAAAATCTCCTCCTCCTATGTGATGCTATCTGTTCAACATAGCAGAGCCAATGCTGAACTAAGTAAGCTGCTGTTATGGATGCAGCTAATATGCAGGCAGTGCATTTGTTCCCGTCAACTTGTTTCCTGTTACATAAGAGAACCACAGTAAAAGTTACAAATTCATTGGAAAGTTAGCCAAGATCAGCCCTGGAAAAGAATGGAGAGAAAGAGAGTCCGTCATTCCTAAAAATAACAGCATAAGCTTCTATTTCACATACTCCACCCTTCTTTGTATGTATAACATATAACTATTAAAATATGTTAGATAAAAGAACAAAGGATATGTATATAAATTTGATTTTTGTTGTTTCAGACATGGCAGTCTGTAAAAATATTTTGCATGGAGATATTATCAAGTGTCTGTGAAAGATAATTAGCAGCATTTTGATATACTAATGTCTCTATGTGCATACAGACACAATTTAAGAATATAAAAGACACCAGGTGTCTTTTCATATTGATAGCATAGTGTTAAAGAAATTGGACTTATTATCAAGATCCTCCAAATTCAAGTTACTCTCTAAAGTGCAGAGTTCATTGGGTGATTCTGATCAATTATTCTTTCTTAGCCAATCTCACTTCAGAAAGAATGAAGAGAAAACATCACCCTAAACTTACCAAAAGGTAGAATATGAATGCAACAATCAATAAAACTGTTCCAGACGTTTTTCCCAAATGTAGTAATTTAAATCAGTTATGAGAAAGTAGTAAAATCTGCATTTAATTAAAAAAATACATTTTGTTTCTGTCATGATCCTGTTTACTCTTTGAAGTACTACAGACCCCGAAAAACTAACTCAAAAATAAAGGTACCCTAAAGTTGGTGTGCCATCTTTTTTGGGAATCAAATGCCACATATGGATCTAGTAGTAAATCTTAATATGTCAGGTTTATGTTAAGTAGGACAAAGGGAGAAATCAAAACAATGCAGAATGAGCTTATTACAACTTGATGCCCAGCTCGCAATTATGACATCACAACATCATGGAGTCATGTGATTGCCACTTGCAACCTTTTCTGCCAACTTCCAACAAGCAAAGTAAATGGGGAAACCAACAGGAGGTCTCAAGCAGGAACTACACGTACATGACTACATGACCTTGGTAACTGGCAATGATTCACTTAATGACAGCAGCCAGAAGTGCAGTGATTTCTAAGCTCCAGTCATGTCGTATTTTATTACCACATCATGTAGCAACAAAACTCCAGTCCAAATTACCACTGATAGGTAAAGATTATCCGTGTGTTCAAAGTGAAAATTTAAATATCTTTATTATGAAGTGAAAAAATGAATATTTTAAGCAGATTTTCCACAAGTTCATTTCCTACAAAATTACATTTATCCATTACTAGCTCTATACCCATGCTTCGCTATGAAACTTTGTGATCGGGATTAGTTTTGGGGGAGGAAAATAAGGGGGGGGGAAATGTGCCTCTGTCTACCAGTATCATCATTTGGCTAGCGTTCAGTCAGTGTTTGAGAGAGTTGAAGGCTGTGTGGAAACTGAAACAGTATTTGCTGTGTGAACAAGGAGATAGCCTGGACATGTTCTGTACTAAAGCTGCTTGGTGCTCTGAAACTGAAACTGAAATTCCTCTCCTCTGCTTGTGTTTTGAATTTGGAACAGATTTCTTTTCAGGTGGGGAGGGGAAATAGAACTCCTTAGCATCAGAGAATAATAATAATAATAATAATAATAATAATAATAATAATAATAATAATAATAATAATAATAATAATAATAATAATAATAATAATATGAAATACTAATTGTCTGATGGTCATTTCAAGAAATCCTTTCTTAGTGAGCATCTAGAAGTCAAGAGGAACACACGCACCAAATTTCAAGTTTGTAGGTTCTGGAGATTCTGTAATGATGCGTGAGTGGCATTTTGCTTTTATATATATAGATTTACTTATCCTGCTTTTAATCACCAATTATATCATAATAAAAATTGAATGGATTCTGTGGCTGAAGGAGAGTGTCTGGCCCAAAGTCACCTAATTGCATGATCATGAATGTACACTTTAATTATACTCAACAAACTGGATATCTAACAATCTGTGAAGAACACTTGAAACAGCACAGACATCCGGTTTTTCTCTCCCCCAATTTTCTTACCTCATCTTTATTATTCTTATAACTAACAAAAGGCAGTGAACATACCTAATACTCCTTCCTCCTTCTATTTTCCCCCATAACAACAATCATGTGACATGATTGGGCTGAAGCAGTGTCTAGTCCAAATTTTTTATGTTTTATTAAATAAATCAGAATTGATTAGCTTGGTGAATCAGGCTATACCAGGGGGTGTCAAACTCAAGGCCCACAGGCCAGATCCAGCCTGCAATGTGGTTGGATCCAGCCCCCAGGGCCGTCCTGGTCTACCTAATGTGAAGAGGAAAGATCGGGCCAGCCTGGCTTTGGACTGGTCTATCCAATGTAAAGAGGAAATATGCCAGCAGTTTGGAGAGTGGCATCAAACTAGCCATGCCTACCCATTCGGTCATGCCCACCTGGCACCTCAAGATCACACAATGAAATTGAGTTTGACACTTCTGGGCTATACCACTAACTACAATGGTTTAGCGTTAGTATTGTTCTGTCAGGTAAGACACTCCAAGACATAATGAGAAATTTAGAGAAGCAAGAAAATTGTTAGGATTCTGATTCATACTTGGCAACCAATAAAATCTACTGCCTTATTGAACAGAACGATTATATACACAATTGGTAAATTAATACATTGTAAGCAGTGTCCAATAATAATTTTGTTTACAGGAAAAATATATTCATTAGTGCTACCAAATGGTCAAATATGCAAATTAATACATGGTCTTATGTGGATTTATCTGTTTCATTTCAGTTCAACACACCCAATAATTTCTTTAAAATAAAAAATGGGGTATTAGTTAATTTGCATGTTATCAAATTTGCAAATGTCCAAAGTAGTTTTCAAACCAATTAAATGTCTGGATTGAGATACTTTTGTTTCCTATAATTCACTCACATAATCTTATTACTATGCTGCTTATTAGAGAAAATGAATGCTTAATGAATTCCTTTGTTTTTAAATCTCGAACAACAAAGCCTTGAAATGGCATTTAAATAAACTCAACACGGACAACAAAAAGAATCAACCTAATGGTATGGACATGACGTGCAACCAAATGATAAATATGTTACCTGCTCTGTAGTAAATATTATAAATATATTATAAATATAACATATTCATTTATCTATTGAAATGAATAGCATGCTACCATTATTTATAGTTTTCCTAATACAGCTATTCCACTTTTGCCCTTTCTGGATAAATTGGTGGAAGCGCTGGACTAACACAATTGAAAGCCACCAGATATAAGGATTATGGTAACATTTGGGTAGCTAAACAGGATCTTGCAAAAGATCCTATCTATTTTCCCATATGGAGCAAACAGAAGAAAGGGATTAAATTTAGAAAGATATATTTATTTATTCATATATTCAATTTATATGGCCACTTAGTTGACTTGCAATTTGGGGTGCATACATATTAAACCAACTAATTAAAAAACTTATTAAAATATACTCATCATTACATATGATGACCAAACAGTTAAGCTACCTTCTACCAGTAGTGAGAACTTCACAGGTAGTATTTGCCCAAAACAGAAACAGTCAACACAGTCCATTATGTGTCAGGTTTGATCTTATAAAATTTTACTGCAATTACTATCAGCTTTCTTCAAACAACATGATCCAACTCCCATAATAGTTAGTTAATGTGGCCTAATCCACCCCATCTGTTATCTCAATTCAACATCAAGTAGAAGGCAGCTATCATTTATCAAACAACGAAGGAGGTAAATTTGTTTCCATTTTATTGAATTTTAAACAGTCAACAGGGGAAATCATCCATATCCTCAAGGGCTAGGTTGCCAAATCCTTTAATTCAAAAGCACATCTTAATTAGTGATAGAGTCAGCCTGCTACAAGAAAATAAATGCAATAAGATTTGAAGAAGGAATTTTTAAAAATACGGCTAAACTGACAATTAACAAAATGTCTCATTTTTTTCTTCCCAATTTTTTAAAATAATGTTCTTATTAAGCAGGGTAGGATAAATTCCAGAAAAATAGCTGTGATATAATTTTTTGTATTAATGGACAAGTAACTTCCATCTTTCAACAGAAAAGCACTGTCCACTTGATAGGGACATATTTTTTCACCTTCTACTCAATATCAAACTATATTTCAATACTAACTAAGCAAAATGTGTTCCTTGAGCACAAGTTTCCAGACTGGACCAAATGTTAAATTCCTTTTCAAGAATTAGACTAGAAACCATTATCTTTTTACATGTGGTGCAATGAAGATTTAATCTTTGCATTTCCTATAACACCTGTAAATTATATTGCCCCAAAATAATGTATTTAATTCAGTCATACTCATTTTAATCCAAGAAAATAGAATGTGACAATACTACAAATTGATCTAAAAGGATAAATGTAGAAGTGTAACCACACACCTGATTTTCAGAAGGTTTGACCCTTAAATAGCAGAAAGACCCAAACAAAACCATGTAGTTTTGCATATTATATATTGTATAGCTGGATTGTGAGTTAGTTATAAGTATTAGCAATGACATTTGTAAAAAGAGGATCCCCAATCTCTATCATGCATGAGTAATGATTTTCTACCTGTGCATCACAGATAGCCTTTGGGGTTTTTTGCACTGTTGCCTCTCCACTGCAGATGTCATAACTTTGATTCATTGCTAAAGAAAAAGAAAACAAGATACATATAAGAGCTTCTAACAGGAACTATGAAAACTAACATTGTATCTATATACCTGCCAGCAATTTTAAAAGCAACTTCTTACTACAACATTCAATATAATTCACAATCTTCAAGAAATATTTTTATTACAATGTAGCCATCATAAATGTGAGTTGCCAAGCATCCAAATGTAAACCACATAACCACGAGGATGTTACATTGGTCATAAATGTGAAAAATGGTCATGTCACTTTTTTCAGTTATGGTGTAACTTTGAACAGTCAATTAAGCGAACTGCTGTAAGTTAAGGACTACCTACACTATCCAATGAGCTTCACAGCTTCATCCCTTTCTACAGTAAAAGACAAGCTTTCTGGGTCCTACTCTAACATTCTAATCATTAAAGAGATTGCTGACTACATAAAGACACATACTAAAATACATAAAGAGTGCTAACAATAGCAGAATACTAGCATACTGATACAGTTCACACATTGAATTAAGCTACAAACATCCTTTCCAAGCTACAATGACTTCATCACTCAATGTTCTATATCAAACGAAGTACATTATGGTATAATGTAATGTTCTAACTCATTCATAAAGTGCCCCTTCTTATTCACACTTCCACCATAATTTTTTTAAATTCTAGACAATTTCTCTGATGACCTATACTAATGATAGATTTTAATAAAAAAAATAAAGTAAATTCAGTCCTTTCAACCTTGTATTTTCCCATTGTTCTATTTTATTTTTTGACCAAATTTATTATTATACACTTTCACTTCTTGTTTTTCTGTTCCACATATTAGTTTACATATTTTAGTAACAACATACTCGTTATCTGTACATAGCTTTACTTCAAACTCAGCCTTACAATGTTCAGAACTACAAATTCTTTTTACTTTCAATTAGAGAATTTTACAAATTAATATACAATTGAAACTGGAGACATTTGGGGGAAAATAGATGAAATACTCATGGACTTTTGCTTTTATATAATGTTCATAAATTATAAAATGCAAAATATGTAAAAAAAGTTACTTAAAAACAATGAATAGTTGTTAAAGATAATTGAATTTAACCAAATTGACTACTTTGATTAGAGAAAAGAAAGTTTATTGCTGACATGAAACATTTTACAGACTTTTTGAATGAAACAGACAAAAAGAAATGTATAATTTATAGTTTTGATTATTGGAAAGAATGTAGAAAACAGAGTTATTTTGCAACCATAGAGCAAGTATTAATTTATAATTGTAATAACTGCTCTAAGGAAAATCGGAAATGGCTACTTGTCTTTTTTCCTTCTTTGCTTTCAAACTTTCAGTTCCTTCGTTGATTTTGTTTATCCTTTTCTTTTTCTTATTCTATATTAGTTAAATTTTCTTAACTTTTTAAATAATATATGAGTGCATGTATTTCTCTGTGTGCGTGCGTGACTCTCTTTCTTTCTCTCTCTCCCTCTCTCCCCCCTCCTTCCCTCTCTTCTACCCTCCCTCTCTGTGTGTTTGTGTGCATGTGTGCACACACATGGGTATAAAAGGGAAGTGGTACAAAGTGCAGCCTATTAAAATCAGTTAGTCTAAGAATTATTTTCTAAGATTCTGAATATACTGTATGTGGAAAATAAAGCAGTTATACAGCTTGAATTCTAAACAAGTCCAGGTTCCTTTTCTGCATATACAAGAAGACATGAGCATATATGTAAATATTCATGGGAAATTATTGAATATATAGATATCTTTCTCCATTGTAAAAATCCTTTTTCAGGATTATTGCAATGATTGCTGAATGAGCATTCAATAAGCGAGCACTATTTGTACTCCGATCATGTCTCATTTGTAGCCTAAGTTGTAAAAAAAATAATAATGAATTTTGACAATTTGATCCTTTTTCATTTTTTTACTTCAAAATTGCAAATGTGCTCCTATCTTTAAACCACACTCCAAATGACTCACATATAATATTTCAGACTAATTTTGGCCCAGGTTTGATTAATACAGGTAAATATAAATACGGGAAGCCTCTGACCAGCGAAATCTTCTCTTCAGTAGCCCATAAAATGCCCCTCAAATGGTTTCAAAATCTTGATTTTCACAAACATTGAAAATTTGAATATTCTAGAAAACTTTGCCTGTAGCAATGCTTGAGAATCTTTGGGTTGTAATAAGACTTCCAATAGAAATGACTATTATAGCAACTGAAAGAATCTGCTCATTCCCTTGTTTAAAACAAAAGAAGGTATTTTTATAATTGGAATACAAAAACTATATAGAGCCATACATCAGTTCAATAATGCCAAAGAACAAAGAATCCAGTCAGTTTTATTACAGACACACCTTGTTTATTATACCTATAATATTTTTTTTTGCTTTATCCGTGTAATAAGGCTGAGCTCCATGAATGGGTAGAATGTTAAGCAACATCAGTTTGCTGAAGTATAATTTCAAAAGCATTCATATCCCCATAAGCCTAAGAAATTTAGGATGATTTTTTTAATAGCCACTTAAGAGATCAGGATGCCATGCCTTGTTTTTATTTCATTATTCCCTTGTGGGCAGCAAGAAGCATTTTCCTTAAAGATTTTTAACATAAAACAAGTAATGAAAAAGAGTCTAGATATACTTTACTAACAAAATGGATTACTATTCTTGCTAAGCAAGGTTTGTTTAATTTATTCAATAAGAATAGTCTTCTCTATCCTTAATGGAAGATTCACTTAAGATGCATGATATGTTTTTTTCCAGTTAAAATGAAGATTACTTCATAGTAATTCCATTATAGATTTTTATTGGTTTACCAGAAAAAAAATCCTATGCCAAATTGAAAGCTATGCAAAACAAAATTGAAATTAAATTTACTTCCACAAGATGGCTTACAATGGATTTAAAGAAGAAATATGCCATTGTCTATTATCAGAATTGGCTGCAGTACATTTGAGGAAAAACTTGAATTATGAAGACTACCTTTGATAAGTTTATGTACAGATCATAGCCCTAAAGGTGCTTTTCAAGATTTTGTTTAAATGTTAGGATTAAAGACTCTGAATAGAAATTATGGATGCTACCACTAACAGTTATGAAAGCATAGAGGAATTTTTAGCAGAAACAGTAACTTGGAACTGAATGCATGAAAAATGTATACTCAGGTGCAATATTATGGTACACAAGAGACAGTTATTATAAAAGGAATATTTTAGTGTATTGGGTATTTTCACTCAAGAACAGAATATGTTTCTCTAAGTATTTATTTATCTCGGTATTAAAATTTAATTCATAGTATTTGGTTCTCCTACAAACTTCATTGGGAAGATATCAGGTTAGAAAACACAATTCTGCTATATTGTACAGAAATGAATTTTTAAATTTATTACTATAGACTTCAGAGATAAATTTTTAAACACAGACTAATTACTTGTATCCTATATATTCTTAAACCAAACAGAATGGAACAATATAACCAAGGAAAGTGTCAACTTCCTTTCTTTAAGTTTTACAGAGTGAACATTTAATATAAATGCTAACTACTTTGTAAAGCTCATAATAAAGTGACAGACAAATCAATTGTTGGAAACGTTAATTGGAGAAAGCTTCCCTTCACTGACTCAAACAGGAAAAGAACTCAAAGTTTTAAAGAAGATAACAGCTTTTTCCAATGTTGCATATTCTGAACGTGTTGGATTACAAACTTCACAGCTAGCATGGAGACAAACTTATCCAGAAAGCACCAGGTTGTATAAACTGAACTTTCCAAGTATTCTATAGCTCAAATTGTATGTATTCCTGAATAAAAACATGGGAAAGTATCTCATTTCCAACCAGTCATATCAAATGTTTATCTTACGCATTATACTCAATATTATATTATTATAATATTATACTCAACGTGCCTACCGTCCCTGTCCTATTGTTTCTTTTATTTTTCTTATATGTACCCATTTCATGTATTCATAACTATGTATACACTTATACTTATTATCTTGTAAACAATTGACAAATAAATAAAATAAAATAAATAAAAATAAATATTAAAGCATCAAACAAATATTAACTGGAAAACTGTATTTATCACACTGCTTCCAAAACACCATTAACAATCCGAACAGAAAATGGTTTTGCTTTGAAAATAGTGCACAATTAATTAGAGAAGTAGAAGATGGTTAAATAGAAATGGAAAACAAGATTTCTGGATTAGCATCATTCATCAGTTGAATGGTCATCTTTCATCTCAAGTTTTCATATTTTTAAAATTAATAATTGTGTCCAAAGTATCGATAATCCTCAAATCCTCAATTTACAACCCTTAGTTCAGCAACTATTCAAAATCATGATGGCACTGAACAAATGGATTTACAACCTGCACAGGAAGTTTCTCAGATATGTACCCCAAATGACTTAAAAGCCTGAGGTTTTTACCACAATCATAGTACTAACATTATTTCTTTCATATATTTTTAAATTATTTAATATTTATTTTTATCAGGAATGTATATTATATTACACTAGCTCGATACCTGTGCTTTGCTATGAAACTATGTGGTTGGGCTTAGTTTTGGGGGAAGAAAATAAGGGGGGTGATTCTGCCTCCGCCTACCAGCATATATCAATATTCATCTGGCTAGCGTCCTGACAGTGTGTGTGACTGTTTGGAAACTGAAACAGTATTTGCTGTGTGAGCAAGGAGAGACAGCAAGGAGCCTGGGCATGGCTTAGCTCAACTGTTTTGTACTAAAGCTGCTTGGTGCTGTAAAACTGAAACTGAAACTCCTCTCCTCTGCTTGTGTTTTGCATTTGGAATTCTTTTCAGGTGGGGTGGGGGTGTAGAACTCCTTAGCATCAGTGTGTGTTAATAATAATAATATACAAAATACTAATGCTCTGATGGTCATTTTGAAAAACCCTTTGTTAGCAAGCATCTAGAAGCCAAAAGGAACACATTTCAAGTTTGTAGGCTTTACGGTTCTGGAGATTTTGTGATGATATTTCACTTTTACATATAGATATAGATATCGATATAGATATACATTATAAACAAATATTTTAATGAATTGTGATTTCAACTGCAATGGCATTTGCTTGATTTGAAAAACCTCTTTGTTCTCTCATAGGTTTTTTAGCTAATTTTTTTAAATAAATTCTTAAAACATAATGAATTCTTACTGAAGCTCTCCCTATCCTGTCATCTTCCAGATATCTTGGGATATAACTCAAACTAGACAGCTGAAGCAATTTTAGAAATTACCATCAGAGAATATATCACAGCACTAGCTTGAGAAGGCTCTGTTATAGGAGCTGGGAGGGCACTGTCTTTTGTTCTTTCAAGGAATACAGAAATTTGCTTCTAAATGTAACTGATACAAATAACCCATGGGAACAGGGATAGAACAAGCTGCTTGTTCTCTTTAGTTTTCACCTTATTGTGAAATGAGCATTGCTTTTATGTATCCATTTCAAATTTTTAATAGCTTTTCCTTTGAAAACTGGTTCTATTTCAATGACTTTACATGAGATTAGAAGAGATCCTGTTCTTCATAGATTATGTGACTTTTTTTAACCTTCTGACAAAGTAAATGAGAAAGCCAGATTCACTTTACAACCATGTTATTCACTTAATAACTGCAGTGATAAGAGATTTATTGAATAGTCATAAGACCTTATCAATAACATAACATAAATATATAACAAGACAAAATATAGATAACTTAGATGTATAAGAATACAATAATAAAAACATATGTGGAAAACCAGGGAGTCAAAAATCGGATAATAGATCACCCTTGCAGGATACACCAATTTGTTCAATATATTGGGTTCTTAGGACCACTGCCTTGATTATAAACTTAGCAGTCCTATGGACGATGTGTACATTAGAGGCCTGGAGAAAATATAACAATCTATGGTTTGATTCCCAATGGGCTGTTCTTTCCAGTAGAAATGATAAATATTTAGGCCTAATGGGGGCAGTTGAACAAGATGTTGGAAATATCTTCAATGGCAGATGAACCACATAAGCAGGTTCTCTTGTGGTATAGCACATGGTGGAAGCGCCCATGTCTGGACATGGAATCCAGTAACTCAAATCTAGCTCTGCTATAGGCTCTTCTCTGTAATTGTGGTATACCCATTGAAAGGTATTTTTCGGGTTGGAAGATGTTTTTATTCTTAGCCAACCATCTTATAGATCTGTTTTTTGCTAATAATTCTATGTCAGTCTGGGCACTAATATCCAAGACTCTCTGTTTAAAAATTTCCCTTGCCTGGGAAACCCTTGTCAATAAAAATTGAGTAGAAAACCCATGTCTTAAGATGGCTCTGTGGAGTTGACTGGCCCAGAACTTAAATTGGAACTTATTTAACTGTTCAGTTAGGCCTAGTTTGGGAAATCTATCCGAATCCATTGATAGTATCTTTAGCCAGTATGTAAATGTTTTAATTATTAAGTGGCTATGTAAGGAGTGGATACCCAATTCCACTCTGACTGCTGAAGCAGAAGTGTTCTTATCAGTCCCCAATAAGTGTCTTAAAAAGCAGGTCTGTGTTTGTTCAAGTGGGGAGGCTTTATTTAAACCCCACAGTTCTGTACCATATGTCAACATTGGAACTATTTTTGCCCTAAATACTCCACAGAGCCATCTTAAGACATGGGTTTTCTACTCAATTTTTATTGACAAGGGTTTCCCAGGCAAGGGAAATTTTTAAACAGAGAGTCTTGGATATTAGTGCCCAGACTGACATAGAATTATTAGCAAAAAACAGATCTATAAGATGGTTGGCTAAGAATAAAAACATCTTCCAACCTGAAAAATACCTTTCAATGGGTATGCCACAATTACAGAGAAGAGCCTATAGCAGAGCTAGATTTGAGTTACTGGATTCCATGTCCAGACATGGGCGCTTTCACCATGTACCATACTACGAGAGAACCTGCTTATGTGGTTCATCTGCCATTGAAGATATTTCCCACATCTTGTTCAACTGCCAAATATATGCCCCCATTAGGCTTAAATATTTATCATTTCTACTGGAAAGAACAGCCCATTGGGAATCAAACCACAGATATTTCCTCCGGGCCTCTAATGTACACATCGTCCGTAGGACTGCTAAGTTTATAATCAAGGCAGCGGTCCTAAGAACCCAATATATTGAACAAATTGGTGTATCCTGCAAGGGTGATCTATTATCCGATTTTTGACTCCCTGGTTTTCCACACGTTTTTATTATTGGATTTTTATACATCTAACTTATCTGTATTTTGTCTTGTTATATATTTATGTTATGTTACTGGTAAGGTCTTATGACTATTCAATAAACCTCTTACTTACTTACTCACTTAACAACTGCAGTGATTCACTTAACTATGGCAAGAAAGTTGTAAATGGGGCAAAACTCATTGAAGAACTGTCTCCCTTAGCCACAGAAATTTTGAGCTCAGTTCTAGCTGTAAGCTGAGGACTACCTATAATACATCAAGTAAATATTAATTGGCTGAATATAAAATGAAAAATGTCTGACATAATTCATATGTATCAGATATCAACAATATTTCTTGTCAAATTCAGATAATCAATTCTAGTTTTTCTTTCTCTAATTATATTTTTAAAATGTTGTACTTAGTCAAAAAATTGGTATATTCACCTGATTTTCTTGCTTTCACAGCAAGAACAGCTGCCAGTTCTCTCTGCACCTAGCACATCAAGAAAATTGTGTTATAAATATGCTGATGGAATACATATATAAATTTAGTTTACTATTTATGTTGTTTACAGTGAAACTCCCACAGTTTGTCTACTGCCTATACAAGGAACAGTAATATAAACAGACGGAATTTTCTCTTTCCAGCATCCTAAATTTAATACCAGCATGGAGTTCAGCTTCAAGCCTAATTATATTTATTGAAATGTATGCTCCGCTGAATGCAATGGGGCTGAACTATAGCAGTAATTAAATGCTATAGGTATTAGCTTCATGAAAAAAGTATTTTAACTTCAGCAAGATTATAACAAAGCTATAAGTCTAAAAAAATTGGGTAAGATGTTGGGAAAATATATAATTTTCATTACATTTGGCACATAGAGTTCCCTCATTTCATCAAACGTCTTCCCAGAAGTCACTTATCAACAAACTTGATTAAGCCAGGGTAATATATGGTATATACACACACACACACCCTTTTAGAAGTTTCCTGACCTACTAGCATCATTCATTGCCTTATGTACAACTTTTACATATTATTTTAACTAACTGAAATAAACTACCTTTGACCAAAAGTGCACCCTTTGCAGTTATTTCCTGCACTTGAACTAAGTTGGCATTATTCAACACAGCTGTTCTCATTCAACAGTTCCTCGCCCTTCCTTTGTTTGGAGAGAACATGCATTTCCTTTATTTACAGGTTTCAGTCTGACTCATCAAGAAATAAGTACTTAGAAAAAATTGTACATAACCAAAAGTAGACCCTGAGCTGGAGAAAGAAAGTGAAAAGATTAAGTTGAAGAGCCATATCACTCACACAGGCATATATTAGTTATACATTACACCTTTATTTTACTTTATGCAGCTATAATTCAATTAATATTTTACATTTAAATATTATTATTGGTTAACAGGGCTTAACTTAGAAAATTACTAAATGCTTTTGGTAAGCTCAATCTATTGATTCCATATAACTCTAACCCTAAACAAATAAATGCATTTTTACTTTATTTATACATTATATATTGTTTATTTGTATATTACCCATTCCCTGATGATTCTGGGCAGCTTTTAATCAAAAATACCACCAAGCAAAATCCATCCTCAAAAATATTAATAAAACTCTCCCATAAAACAAACTAAATACAGTATTAAAATACAGCAAAAGAAAGGTGTACAAAAACACAAGTCTGGCAATGTAGACGTTGAAACACAGCATGCACTTTGGATAGAATAATCATGTCTTAATTGCTTTTCTGGACTCTGAAAGAGGAGCACCTTAAAAGAAGGGAAGGAGAAAGTATGGGATAGCCATACCCTCCAGAACTTGCTGAGTTTCTCAGTTAACCAAAGATCCACGAGAAGGAAGTTACTGCAGTCTGGTCAAACACCTTAGTCGTCCCTTTAACTAATGATTATGGTCTCAATCAAACTGCCCATCAGAATGTAAGTCTCTAAGCACCTTCTGAAAAACCAATAAGTATCTGGGATAGACTGATCTAACAGATTCTTCCTCACAGCAGAGAGAGTTATACATTAAACTCCACAGCCATTAGTTCCTATACACTGACCTCTCCTCCAGGTTTTTGAAATATAACCCAGTGATCACATCCTATCACAATTAAATGGTGGGTGAGGATTTTTCTTTTTTACAGACAAACCTAGTGATTTTTTACAGACAAACCTAGTAAGAGAAAAGGAGGCAGTTAGAGGGCAGAATTAAATATATCATCAGCTTAAGAGTCATTACATTTCCATAAATGGTCCAAGTTCAACCACTCCTAAATTCTGTTGACTCTTATCTGGCACCATCTTAGCACTGATCTTTAGTTGACCAGATACTTGTGAATAGGCTTGAATAAGTTTTCTGTGCCACTACTTAAGGAATGATTCTGATCCTTTGCAACTGGCAAGTCAGAATCCCTGGTTCTTGTGAAGAAGACTAAGAACCTGAAGGAGGGGATTAATAAGAGCTACCAAACTCTCCTCCAATGGTAGCCTGCTCTCAGTATTCCATTTTACCTCTTAGTGCCAACTATAATCTCATTTCACTCATTTCTCATTTCACAAAAGTCCATCCTGGACTGCATCACCCGCTACAGCCCAAAAATCTCTGCCATCTAGTACCAGGATCAGTCAAAATATTTCCAGAATTTGAAGCCCTTCAATCCAATTTCTAACTCCACTTCCACCTATTCCCCTGTGCTATTCTCATTCAAAATTCAAATGACAGTGGTAATCCTAATGTCACCCAGGTACAGTCCTCTGACTCCAAACCAAACTCCAATCCTAAAGATGACCTTTTGAAATTTTTACTGAGAAGACGTAACGACTAAAGCCAACAGAAATCCAAGTCTTTGCTGTCAAATACCTGCACTCTTATTAATCCTGTCAGTGTTTATAAGACTCACTCAGCATACAACTGTTCTGAAACAATTTTCAGAGCAACCTGAATGTCACAGTGTTTTCCTAGAGTAGAGACCAACTGAAGAAAGCAACCAGTATCTCAGTCTTTCTATAATCAAGACAAAGCCTTCTTAGGAGTACCATCTGTTGACCATCTATAGATAAAAAAAAAGAGAGAGATAAAATGGCAGCCACCAGTCCAAAGCCATTAACCTCAGGAAACATTCATAGCCAAGTGGTGCTCTAAATCTGGGCCATAGCACTGCACAGTTCTCCAGACATCATTAATGGCTTCTGCTGATCTGTTTCCCTCTTTCCATCTCACAATTTATTTCTAATAGCTTGCAGCTGGCAAAATTGTTATCTTACAACGTGCCTTAATGATTTAGCTTTTTCCTTCTGTTTCTATGTGCCTGATGTCTTGGATGTGTAATAGGTTAGTAAAATCAGCCTGAGAAGTATCAAGGAGCAGTCCATCATGGTTGCCATTTTATTATTAATAAATTTACTATTTAATCATCTTCTAAACATTTAGATTTTATTATGCAGTGGCATTGCTTTACTGATTATAAAGATCAACAGGAGACTGCTATGCCAAACATGCCATGAAAGACCACTACATGGTTCTTCAGATTTTGTTGAGCTTCAATTTAAATCTGTTCTTGCAATAGCAATAGCACTTACACTTATATTCCACTTCACAGTGCTTTTACAGCCCTCTCTAAGTGGTTGCATAGAGTCAACATATTGCCTCCAACAATCTGGGTCCTCATTTTACCCACTGTTAAGTTCGGAAAGGAGGGAGGCCACACCAGAGCTTCAGTCATAACACACTTTATTCGTGGGAATAAAGGGGGCTGTCGCGTCTGCAGCTAACAGCAGACCTACCAGCGAACAGCAGCTGGCTCAACCTAGCAGCCGGCTTTTATAGCCGACTGTCGAAGGGAGCCAGCCAATGGGGACTAAGAACGCCCCCGCAGGAATTGCGGACCTGATGGGGAACTGGTGTCAGCCCCAAGGACATAACACCCACCTTGGAAGGATGGAAGGCTGAATCCACCATGAGCCTGTTAAGATTCGAACTGCCAAATTGCAGGCAGCCAGCAGTCAACAGAAATTGCCTGCAGTATTGCATTCTAAGCACTGTGCCACCATAGTTCTTAATTATAGCAAAATGTGAGGAATTGTCGAACTTGAAATCCAACAATACCCGATGAACCACTTTACCAGTTTCTGATTTATAAAATAGTATTCTATTAAGAAATATAAGTGCCAGGGCAGTGTCACCTCCTCTTCCCTAAGATTCCTTCTCAGGCTGATATGAAAGCAGTTCCCTAATTGTATTCAATGTACTGATTAGCATAATGCAATGTTTTTGTAATGTAGTGTAATGCATTTTTTTCAGATTCAGCAATTTTACAATGTATAGACTTCAGTTCCCAGAATTCCAAAACCAGGATTCTGACTGAAAAATTTTGGAACCTGAATCCACATATCTTAAAGTTGCCAAGTTTATAAAACACTGTTCTATTGAGCAATTTCTGATCCATTTTGGACGAAAACTGCATGATCAGTTTTTCAGTATTTAATTTTTCTGCCTAATTCTGGCATAAATATCCATGACAGGAATAAGAAATGAGCTATTCTCCAGATCTTTAAGTCTAGACGCCTCCAGATCTCTGATAAGTGCTCATTATACTGTCTGTTTTGCTGCTATCTATTCCAAACATAAAGGTTTCTTCTGCATAATTACTGAATAATTTATTTTTAGTTTAATAATGCGATTACAGTTTATTCCCTTACCTTTTATGAAGAAAATTTCATTCTCAATTGGTTCAATTTTATTTTAAAATATTTATATCTAGCTTTTTCTTTCATATTAGGATTAAAATATACATTTAACAAAGACAGCACTCAAGTTTTAGTTTTTTAAAAATGAAAGGGTGGCAAGATAAGCATTAATGGGCAAAATTGGCAGGACTATCTCTTTAATTAAAATTACAAAATAAAGTGTTATCTGATGCATTAAGGAGAAACATCTGCAATACTTCATTCTGTTAACAGACAGATCTAGCAATAAAAATAAACAATTCACTCTACATGCTAAGCAAAAAACAATGTGTTTGAAAGCTATCTAAAATCAAAGAAATTGTTATAAGCATGTTTAAAAATAAATACTACAATTTCCATCAGCACCAGCATGACTGATCAACTATCAGGGATGAAGGGCCCTATAATCCCAAAAAGCTGGAAGATATGAGGGTAAAAGCTATTTATGAAAGTTAAACACATTCTCCTGGGCACATGGCTTCTAATGCTGCCAATTAATGAACAGAAAAAAATTGTACCTGTTTTAAACAATTTTTTTAAGTGTATCATTTTTACAAGCTTAGGATATTCTTTACTCTTTCTCTTGGGGTTTTACTTATATATGCTCTCTGTTGTTAAATGGGTTTGCATGGAACAAGTGCTGAATTATTAACCTTTATTTCAGTTGAAATTAAATGAACATTACAGCAGAAATAATGGCCTGTAGGGATCATTTTCAAATTGTCTTGGTCTAATTCTTGGTATTAAATATCTATCTTCATGTGGATAGGAATCTGAATTAATAGTTTGATGTCTGATTTGCCTGCACACTCTTCTGGAGAGAGTGCTGCCAATTGAAGATATTTTGGGAGCTTGGGATCTTAAAGTCAGAATTGGTGAAGATGTTCCAAGCTGAGGCAGACCAGTTGTACGTGCCCAGTTCTTCTAACTGGCTTGAATTCAGGGGACCTTTGAAAGAAATCTCTCAGCAATGCCTTAAATACTCTAAACAAGTATTTCATATTCTATTATATTCTATTATTCAAAGATATCTCCCAACTTCAGTAATATCTCTTACTGTCCAAACACACATCTCTGAAACAGTTTCAGAACTTCTCCTGTTAATAGCTTGCTATTGATAATTTTATTAGAAATTCAAATCAAAATATATCTGTCCATGCTTTTTAACATTCTTGCTTTGCATTTTAGCAACATTTATCCTAACTGAGTTTCTTGATTTTAATAACTAGCACTCTTCTACAAGTAATATTAATTGCTGTTGCTTTTCCCACTGCTAATAGTAGTGGAGGATTTACAGTCCAGATACAAATACAAGAAACCTTTGTTTATGAACTAATTAAAATCATCCCACAAATTAATCTTTAAGAAAGGCTTACTGCTGATGTGAGACGAGCAAGAATTTCTGCATTGGTTTCAGTTGTTTCTTCTATTCTTCTGTTATCCCTTTTGAAACAAAAAGCAAATAAAAGCTCATGGTACATCTGAGATGTAAGATTGGTCTGAATCCCCTGAAGGCACAGGGAAACAGGGAATTAGACGGTTATGACCAAGACATAATCCCTAGGTTGCCTATGTTATATCTCTGCTATGCAAACTCCACTGGCTCTAACTTTCCTTCCAGGTCCTGGTTATCATCTTTAAAACCCCACACAGGGTCAGTTTATCTGCTTGAACGCTTCTTCCTAAGAACATAACGTCCATTCTACCAGATAACATAGATGGGCACGCTCCTAATCCCTTCCCATATTATTATGGGAATACCATATTATGGGAACGAGGAAGTATGCCTTTTTCATAGCAGTCCTTGCCCTGTATCCCTGTATGATACCCTTCCTTTTGAGGTTTGGCAGGCCTTTACCCTCCTAGCCTTCCAAAAACCTCTGAAGATCTGGCTCTCCCATATGTGCTGGGATGAGATGTGGTGGATAAGAGGATTTTATGAGGAACTCTATGTTGAAAATTAACTTTTATACTAGAGGTTTTTTTAATGTTTATGGTTTTAATATATTTATATATTATATTATTTTGTTATTGGTATTTTAATTGCTGATTGGAAACCACCCAGAGTTCGATATAAGATGGGTGGTTATATAAAACTTTTTTAACTAAATAATATAAATGATTAAAATGTTCCTAACACTAGTAGAACTAAATGCCTTTATTTTTACCAAATATGTTTATACTAAGAAAATATAATGTTATAGATTTGTTATTAAGTTTCCTGGAATGACATACTGAACAGCAACTTCAATTTAAGAATGGCACCCTCAGGAAATAAACTCTTTAGTTTAATGTAAAGGAAAAAGAATTAAAGTTATGAACCTCAGTTATTAGCTTCTTGTGATCAACAGATGGAATCAAGAAAGCCACTGACTTTGCCTCCAATGGGTGGGTACATGACATAAAATACAAGGAACCCACCAGATCACTGTATCTGATGTTTTAATCTCAGTTTCTCCCATCAGTAAGTTTCTTGCAATATAAGATTTCTTTTAAATCTCATGTTCTGCTGTCCTATTTGTCATTACCCACTGATTAGTTTAACAGTCCTGCTTTTTAATTTATCATTATTTTAAAGTAGCATGATGTGATGAAGTTCATATGTTGTCCTAACTCATAGATTCTTTAATCAAGATTGTTAAATAATCACAATACAGATTTATATTATGGTGGAGATTATTGAGATCACAGGTCAAATTAAGCCAAAACTAAACAGCCTCGATTATGACATTAGTGCTATCTGTATACATAACATACATTGGGTTTGATGTTTTTTGCCCATTGCTTAATGCAAATCTAACTCCTAATTAAAACCAAGATAGTAAGCTTTTAGTTTAACTAAAATTGCTTTAAAAATGAGGAAAATAAAATATGCATGCTTGTTAGATTCTGTGATATACTTGATTATGAAGCTACATAAGTAGTACTGGGCTTTATAAAATGTAGAAAGCAGAAAGTAAAATGATAGGGTTTATTTTTATTCACAAGCAAATATCCTGTTCATATATAATATTAAGTTTATACTTTCCTGTATAAAAGAAAAAAATAAGAAAAAAATACTCTTAACATAATGCTTCAGATTTATTTTTATAAGCCTAAGTATAGTATATAGTCATTTTTATAATGGTAATTATATTGGTATTTATATATAATAGTTCACAGTAATGATTTAGGTTTTTTCAAAAAAAAAATTGCAATATTTTTAAATCTTATTTAAAATGTTTGAAAAGGTAAATCATAAGAAATGGACTCATAACATGCTGCAAAATTCAAAACATATAATGTAAATGTGAAGCAAGCCAGCCAGTAACTAATAGAAATATACTTACAGGTTACACATATTAATCCTTGGAGAAGTAACAGGCACCATCTTCAACAGAAATTTCACACCATTTATCCATCCTTTTTCTCCTTCATATTCACAGAATAAGTATGTGCATTCATCAGATGAGAACTGGTAGAAAACATATCTGTCTAGAAAATATATCTGCTTATCCACTGTTTAAAAAAAAAAGAAAAAATGATTATATATATATTTAAAGAAATGGTTATCAGAAGTCAAATACATATATGCAACTTTAGTTACAATTCATCAAGTGGAAAGACCTGGCAGTCTGTGTATAAACTTAAAAACTGTACAGAGTTAGGGGAATATTTGTATTAGCAGAACATCTTCCCCAAAAATTCCAGTGCTGTAGACTAGATAGAAAGGTAAAAAGCAAATATTCTGAGAATGGCATAAAACAAAGGGAAACAACACTTCCAAACCACTTCAAGACATAAATAACATGAGTTTGTTTACATCATTTTTTCTCAACCACAGCAACCTCCAGCATGCTGGTTGGAGAATTCTTGCTGTTGGAGTTCACATGTATTAAAGCTCAGAAACACTATTGTATGTTGTCAAGAAGAAGACGGCAAAGACACAAATGCCAACCAATTATTTCTTCACAAGCTTTTGTGTAGGTAGAAGCCAGTGCAGCTTTCCCTGAATAGCATTTGACTACTTATCACACTATCAATGAGTTGTGCCTCCTTAAAAAAACATTTCGTTTTCTGAAAAACTCTTTCATGATAAACTAGCTATGAACTACCTTGTCTATTCATTACATGATGCTAATTAGGAGTAACATTATTAAAAAGCACTCTGTTCAGCAAACAAAGCCATGTTAACTAGGAAACTATTCTCACAGCCTACACGCAAATGAAATGGTTCCATTTTGCAGTGTAGAACTTCTTCACTGAAAGGAAAAAATAAACTGCATACATATTTTGAGCATACGGCTGGGGGGAAATATGATTGTAACAAGCTATTACTGAAAAATGGCTCTATTTTAGACTGGCTTGAACAAAACAAAACAAAAATTCATGCAACAAATATGCCGATGGATGAACCTGCATTAATTATACAAGCCCTATGTTGTAAAAAAAAATCTCCCACGTTAGAGAAGAAAAATATATCTTAAGTGTTTTTCAAGAGTCATGCTGAACTCATTCAATAATAATTCAAAGGCTTGCAGAGTACAGTAAGCACAATATTCCATAAAAAGTAATGAAACATTATATTAAACAATTCATACTGAGCTACCTGAAGAAAACAGGTAAACAATGTAAAAAGATATAGAGGTGAGATGAACAAGAGGTCCACCTACCTTTATTTATATGAGAGATGAACAAGGTGAACCTCTTCATCTCTCATATAAATAAAGGTAGGTGGAGAGACCAGACTTAGCAATGGCTTTGATGTGGATGGGTCCATGATAAATGTGGTAACATGTGAAAAAAGTGTGGGATAATAAATGTGGTAACATGTAAACACAGATACACTGTATATATCAAAGCAATATATCTATTAATGTGTATGGATGTGCATGGCACCTTTGAATACAAGAAACTGCCTTCCCCAAAGGGCCTTATTATAAAAAAATATCATTAAAAATGATTGAAGAGGAGGAAGAGATAAATAAGGAATGTATATTCAGTCAAAAAAAATATTTTCAAATACCATAAGCATACAGTGAAACTATTATCCAGATTTTAGAAATTTAATAGAAGCAGTGTCCATAAAAAGATGATAAAAATAGCCAGGATGATATATAGGTATATTATGAAAACTGGCATATACTGGCATGTATAAATATCTAGCAAATATACCTTTGCAATTATCTAGAATGTGAAAGTTACAAGTTGATTAAAAGGAAACTATTTTCAAAATAATACCCCCTCTTTTTTTTTCTAATTTCTTTTGCATATATTGTAAAACTAATGTTCCAATAAAAAGTAAAACAAGACAAATTGAATGCTTTGCACAACAGTTTGGACTTTCTACTGTAAAACTGACCTGAAAACACAATTCCCATATTCAGTAGTAGCTGCCAGATACCAGCTGCTGTAGATCTGCTGTTAATGAAAGTACAGCACCTCAAAAGCCAATCTACCAGTTCAGATCCAATGCAACTTTGCCTAACAAAACAAAGACCAAAGTTGTAATCCTAAAGCATTTACAAGAAAATATGTTCAGTGTTCATTTCAGGCTTATATTTGAATAAAAATATATTGCACTTTGATTTATATCACACTGAAATACACTTACCTAAATAGAAATGTAGCATATATTTAATGAATCCAGGTGACACAAATGACGAACACGCTTTTATATCTAAGATTGCAGTTTAGTGTAATTGTGTTCACTCTAAAGATTGGTTACATTACAACAGGGGTGTCAAACTCAATTTATTTGAGGGCCACATCAGGGTTGTGTTCGGGTGTGGGATTCAAATTTTTTAACAACTAGTTCTGTGGGCTTGGCTTAGTTGGTGGTTGTGGCTTCGTGGTCATGTGACTGGGTGGGCATGGCCTACTCAATGTCACTCACATTGAGGGGTGCTTCTCCTCGCCTGGCTTCTCGTGACTGTGAGGACGCTACAACAGTCGTAAGTGTGAAAAACTGTCATAAGTCACTTTTTTCAGTGCCATTTTAACTTTGAATGGTCACTAAATGAACTGTTGTAAGTCAAAGATTACCTGTACAAAAATATGAAAAGCTTCTTTGCTTGCAAAAAGCTTCCCTAAATACCAATCATTAGATTAAAAATACCTGCAAGCCAGAGTTACAAATCAGGCAGGTTGCTAGAGCACCTTGAGGAATTAAAATAAGTTAAAATGCAATGATAACTTTCAGCAGCCAACACTTACACATAAAGTGAAACCCAGAGGTCATTTAAGCTCTCCAGAAAGAGCACACCCAGGAAAAGCAATCCTTAGAACCATTTGCACCACTTAAAGATATCAGCTGGTCTCACTCACCTCACAAGATATCCTAAGGAAATCATCCAGATTTAAGGAAAGGTCACATGCCCCTCAGAAAGGCAGTAAAAAAAAATCAGTGCCAAACTTACATTCTGCCTCTTGGAGATACACCCCAAAAGGACAGTGCCAGATACCACTAAAGCAGTGAAGGAAGACCCCCTCCCCCAGATAGAAAAAGAAACCATGAGTCTGGAAAAAATTAAACACAATACAAATAATTAAATCACAACAATAGCTGTTGCTTGTTAAACCAATTACCAGAACAAATAGACACAGGAACTAGCCAGATTTCTCAACCCAGTTTATTTTCAGGAACAGAGATTAACCTTTTTCCTTCCAAACAAAGCTGAATAGGGAAAGTTATCCCATCAATAAACACAGGATTAAGCATCACCAAGGACAGAATTAAACTTCACCAAAAAAACAGTTTTAGACCAAAACTCAGAAAGGGTTTGTAAACTCGCGTTTGAATGTCAATCTTTCTAGCTAGCCAAGAAGCCTTGCTGAATGTCACTTGGTTCCTTGTTATCAAAAGCTCCTTTCCGGCTATTCAATTATTTCTTCAAAGTGCTGATTGTTGTATGTGGCTGGAAGTATATCCAGGGGAGTATCTCCTCCCAACAGCAGTGTAGAAAGCTTTTTAAAAAAACCTTCTTCGGTGACAGTAAGTCTAGGCATACTGCCAAGAATGTAATAAGGGTGGGAAAAAACAAAAGGAGATTTCTTCTAACTATCCGTTCTCCGAACTGCTTAGAATGTTAACAAGGGGTTCTATAAAACCGGTCAGAACTGGTAGAATCCCACCCTTGGTTGTGTTTGACCTTGGGGGTGGGCAGGGCCAGGGTGAAATTACTCTTGTCAAGGGCACCTGTGGCCTGAAAACTCTGTCAGTGAAAATGGGCTCCCAAGTTTTGTTTTTGTCTGGGATGATCTCCTGCAGCCCTCTGCCAGTGAAAATGGAACACCCACCCCCACAGCTCCAGTTTTGCTGGCAGAAGGCTGAAGGAGGCCATCTTGGCCAAAAACGGAGCTCAGTGGGGCCGTGTGCATCTCTCCTGAGTTCTATTTTTGCTGGCAGAGTCATTGTGGGCCAGACTTTCACTGTTTCCAGGGCAGCCCCGCAGGCTAGATCTAAGCACCCCATGGGTCAGATGCGACCCCTGGGCCTTAAGTTTAACCACATCTGCCATGAAGTTTACATATTCAGAAGAAGTAGCTATCAAAACAGTCACTTGAATCTCTGTGTGGCTGCCATGAGTCTATTTTATTAGAACAGCTGGTAAATTAAAATCTATCTAGAAAATGCTGGGAGTCCTGATGTGTTGAATTTTCTAGGAGCAAATCCTACTCTAAACTCTTTGCACAGGCCTAATAGCTACAACTGTACTTATTGTTCTCCTTATAAAGACCCAAAAAGATATGGTAGTTGTGATTAGCTTAATTCATATATGAACTTCATAAATCCTTTAGCCTTAATTTTTTCTTTTGCTTTCTTTTCTGCATAATTTATACAACAATATCTTCAAGTATTCTAATCCAGTACCTTCTCATAGCTGGATAGTTAAGAGGGCCACAAGAAAAAAAATGTCTAATTTGGGAATTTTCAAGCTGTAGATCAGGGGTGTCAAATTTGATCGCATCGCGGGCCTTATTGTGACATATCATGATTTTTTTTGCCTTTGTGGAGTCGAGGCCTTCGCAGGCCATATCTGGCCCATGGGCTGCCAGTTTGACAGGCCAGGCTTAGATCATGACTCAAAGCTTGATACAAAGTCTGACATAGCTTCAGCTCTGCCTCCAGAAGTCTCATGGTTCATTCAATGTGGTGATTCAAGCCTTCCTACATTGTCTACAATGTCTTCTAGCCCAAATTCACAAGGTTCATCAGATATTGTGTGCTGTGAATTTGGAATCACTAAATAAGATTCCATAAAAATATCAGTTCCCTTCTGGTTATTTCTCATTGCCTTTTGTGTTTGTAGTTATAGGGGGAAGAACGTGAAGAAACAAGATTTCCACATGATTCCAGGGAGCAAGTATGCTTGGCAACAGAACTGAAAGTGCTTGCCCCAAACAGGGACATGTATTGCAAGAAAATTAGAAGAGGGAGGGGTATATGTCCTACGCTGGTCCAGTGGTGAACAATTTACTCTGAGCGATTCATTTCCTTGATTTAGTGCTGAAATGAAAGATGAGATGACCTAGTGCAAATATGCTTTTGCTGACTGGTCACCTATTTATTTGATCAAGTAAACTGGTCTGTTCTCTTTTTTATGCATATACACTGCACATACATTCTAGACACTAACTCACAATCAAATACTATGCCGTCCTAAGGCAACAAAAATCCAGGTAAAAATCATTAAATAGTAGCAAAATATTAGACTTCTGAATCTTTTTCTAGTGCTTGCCCACACTTTCATAGCCTAGATCCAATTCTAATTCAGCTATTTAGCAACATTCAGGCTCAGTAATCAGGTAGATGTGTTAAGAAAAAATCTGCTAGTGTTTACTGTTGTCACAGAAACCCTGGTTGGCTACAATCCCAATTTATGTATTTTTTCTGCTACATCTTACTGTGAGCATTTCAAGGAAGGCTCTTAGTTAGCTGTAAAACCACTCAGCTTTGGGGGAGGCTAATGGTACATCTTTTAAAGCATTTGAGCGGTCCCTACCATTTTGGAAAATAGCAATACCAACAAATATCCTTTAAAGAGCAATTAAAACCTTCTTTGGGAATGATTATTTGAGACACAACAGGTGTATACATTACTTGGACCACTGTCAGAACTTGTTATCATTCTGCCTGGACAGGGTAACAGCTGGAAACTTCTGACAGGACTCTACTTTTGCCTGTGCAAGACTCGTGGCCTTGACCCTCACATTTGAATCACTACCAAAATTAATTCCTGTAGTTCATTCCCCCATAGCTTGTCTATCTAACCCAGGGTTCCCCAAATTTGGCAACTTTAAGACTTGTGGACTTCAAAATGTGTTTCTTCACTCTAACGAAGGATTCTGCACTCTTTTTCTGCTGTACTCAATTTCTCTCAATTTAAATTGGGGTTTCACATTAATGATCAGTCTTCAAGCTGCAAATATCTGAATGACCACTAGCTGACAGCAAATAGATAAGGTAGAATCTTAAAAGTGTAGAACACAGACTATGAAAGCTGGATTACCAATAAAGCTGATTTTTTTTAAATGCCTTTGACTTTGATTCAAGACCATCTCACAAAAATTCTAGTATTTTGATTTCTCTAGCGAAGTGCTTTTAATGATGAGGTATGAGTGTGCACTTAGCTCACTTCACAACATATTAAAGATCTGGAAATCCAAAAAGATAGGGCTGATTTTCCCAAAAATATTTATTTGAGCAAACTCCCCTTTTAAAACAAACAAACAAGCATGCATGCATACATGCATACATACATACATACATACATACATGTACATAATAACCATCCCCAAAATCCAAAAGACAGTAATCATAGCACACTGCAACACACTTCCTACAGCAGTTTTGGTGGGCAGATACCAAAAAGTACCATACAAACTGAGATTGGGTCCCTGTGAATGTAAAACTTTTGCTCATGTCCTGCTACACTATATCTTCAATAAAGACTCACAGGATCAATTTATAACACCTTACCTAATAAATAATCTGGGAAATGTTTTTTTTTGTTCAACTACTATTATCAGATCAATATGAAGTTATTTCTCAATGTAGCCAAATTCTGTAATGCTGTATATAAAATTAGGCAAACTTTAAAAGCCCACTGTTAATTCATCACAAATTTCAATATATTATTCTGTTTTGTATTTACACAGCTCATAGAATTGCTTTCAGTTAAGAGGTATCAACTTAGAAAGAGATCAGCCAATTCAGAAATTCATGGTGACCAGTTCAGATGCAATGCAAGTGAATGAAGGTGCAAGAAGAAATTATATTTAGTTAAAATAAGAAATACACTGTTACCTGCAAAGCCCCATCAGAGACATTCTATCTTTTATCAGAGCTGCAGCTTGTAACAGAAAAACGTTTCTGAGGGCTCTTCCAGCACACAAGGCATCCTCTTCATAACTCTAAAGGAAGATAAATTGGACAAGACAATATTTTTTTGTAGTTTGCACAGTTACATATAGCATTACAACTACATGAAAGCTGCAAGACACAGCAAACTAGTACAGCACAATTTCATTAACCTTTTAAAATATGGTTTTAGTTAGCAGTAATATTAAAAACTAGCTCTATATACTCATGCTTTACTACAAAATTATGTAGTCAGACTTAGTTTTTAGGGAGGAAATAGGTGGGAAATTGTGCCTCTGCCTACCAGCATCCATTTGTATTCATCTGGCTGGTGTCCTGACAGTGTGTGAGAGAGTTGAGGGCTGTTTGGAAACTGAAATAGTATTTGCTGTGTGAGCAAAAAGGAGACAGCAAGAAGCCCAAGCATGGCTTAGCTCAACTGTTCTGTACTAAAGCTGCTTGGTGCTGTGAAACTGAAACTCCTCTCCTCTGCTTGTGTTTTGCGTTTGGAACAGATTTATTTTCTGGAGAGGGAGAGTACAACTCCTTAGCATCAGAGCTTGTTAATAATAATCTACAAAATACTAATGCTCTGGTAGTCATTTTAAAAAATCCTTTCTTAGTGAGCACCTAGAAGCCAAGAGGAATATATGTGCCAAATTTCAAGTTTGTAGTTCTGGAGATTTTGTGATGATGTGTGACTGGTATTTTGCTTTTATGTATAAATAGATACAAAATAAAAAATTCATTTCACACAGCAATTCTGGGCACAAAAATAAAGAGCTGTTAATACTGCTGCATTTAAACATTAAATTGCTCAAAACAAGGAAAGAATGTGATTGGAGTTTCTATAATAATACAAATATAGAAGCAATTGTAACAATACCTTAATAGGAGGATTTTCCTCATAAGGATTTGAAATTCTCCTAGACACATTCTGTAAATAAAAACAAGAAGTATAACAATAAGGAATAATTTAAAGCAACTACGATAAATAAAAACATTTCTTACCAATCACTTGGCACTGATATTTTGCATATAGTGAGGTTCTTTTTGTAGCACTTTTTAAAATATAAGTTTAATTCTTCCCTAAATTCCAGTGACTTTTTGGGTCCCTTTAAATTGACAGGTTGTTATCAACACTTTTAAAATTAAAAATTCATTTACTTTTGTAAATAGCTCTTCATTATTACTTTATAATTACTTTAAATTAAGCATTACCTTAACGTGGTAAATGCTTCTACTTATCAATTAATCTAATTTTAGCAGTCTATTGTTTTAGATCCGCTTTTTTGTAAAGTAAAAAGATCATATGATTTTCTTTTTTTTTTCTTTTCTTTCCTCCTATCTAGGTTGCCAAAAGGAAGCTACCACTATTTCAAAGGACTGCTTAAGATAATGTCTTTGCTAATAGATTTTAGTCACCATGTTGTTATTAGGACAATTAGGACTAGAACTTCTATCGCTAAGTAATGCAGTCCTAAAACATGTCATCATGTGATCGCATAACTTAACAACAGCAATCTGGGTACTTCCTGTTATCATGATTAAAGTGAGAACTAACATAACTGCAATGTGGGAAGAGACACTGAAACTGCATTCCAGACAAGCAAGCCTATAGGTGAAAGCTACAGGCAGGTGGGTGCTGTTGCTGGGGCTACAGAATGCAGGCAAATAGGTGTTGTAGGTAGGCATTACAGAGGGAGGGCAGGAAATAGGAAGTATAGGCAGAGGGTACTAGAGAGTACAAGATCCCCAGGAGAAAAATGTTCTGACCCAGCTCCCCAAACACAACAAACCCTCTGTAGTGAACTCAAAGATTCCTTTATTAGAAGTGCCAGCAAAAAGTTTATCTCTCAACGCAGGCTAACAAATCCAGCCGGAAGATGAATAGTTGTCTGCCATATCTATTCATCTCCACCCGCTGCCTTTTATCCCCAGAGCTAGTTTTCTGTACCCTGTACAGAGATGGATTTATAAACTGTACAGATGCAGATAGATAACTTAACAAGATGTCCATAACAAAGTACATTTATTGGTTCATCAGATATCCTCATCTTCATCACATTTGTGACGAAGTTCTTCTTTAATGACTAATCCTTTGTATATCTGCCTTGTAGTAAAAGATGGTTATCTCCTAACCCATCTCATAGTGATAGAAAGCAGCTGCCATGAATTAGTGAGTACAGTCAAAGTGAGGAAAAACTCCCCCAACCCATTGAGGGTCAAATTAGTGACCAATTGGGATTACAGATGTGGCCACGTGACATGAACTACATTTCCCAAAATACCTTTAACCATGATGCATTCCCTTAAGGGGACAGCTCATAATTCTTTTTTTTTTTTTGTGAGTCTGTAAGGATCATTTCTCTTCGTCATATCCATTTCCCATAGTAATATGGGAAAAAACAAGAAGGGGAAAAGGGAACTTTCTGCGGCATGTAACGAAATGATGAAAGAGTTAAATTTAAAAGATTTATGGAGGGAACTGATGCGTTGCGGGTCCCGCTACCGGGATGAGTTAGTCAGCTGACGACCTGCACCCGGGCAGACTGTCCGGGTGGGCTCCTCTTAGCGGCAAAGATGACAGCGACACAAAGGTTTCTTTTGGTGAGAGGAAGCCCAGATGGTACTACGCACCTCTCTTTTATTATGCAGCAAGCGGGGGGGGGGGGGGGT